CGATGATGATGACCAGAATCTGCCGAGGGGCATCAGGGCATTGTGAGGCCTGGGGGAGAGAAACTGACTCACCCATGAGAGCGAGAAGCCTGTCACAAGGGTGAATTTGTCTTGCAGCCTCATGCGGAACTGCCTGATCGTGAGAGCCTTCACCTGACCGAAGAATCCGACGGTGTACGGACTCTTCTTCGAGACGCCGCGCTTCTTGTCCGCAAGCACGGCCTCGCGGAAGGCGATCTGGTCCTGCTTCTCGTTCTCCATCTTCTCCCTATAGCCCTTGAGCTCGGCGCGCATCTTCTCCGCGTAGGACGAAGCCAGGAACGCCTGCTCGAGCTCCTCGGACGAACAGGGCACGTCATCAGCGGAGCGATCTGGTGCGAACTGCCGTTCGTTCGGATCGGTGCAGCCTGTGAGGTAGTCTGCAGTGCTCTGGCGGGGGAGGGGTTTGTATCCGAGATTCTCGAAGTAGGTGCGGGCCTCGGAGGGGGGACCGAAGAAGACCTGGCGGCCTTTGTCGAGGACGATAACCTTATCGAAGAGCTCGTAGATACCTTCACCGGCTTGATACCTGATATTCTGTTAGGAATCGGATGCAGCTGAAGAGGAAAATAGCCGTACAGAGTCGCAAAGGTAGTCTGTCCCAGAACATCCGTCATGACACGCATGGACTTTATGAAGTCCAGGGCTGTGCTAGCGTCGAGGCCACGGGTAGAGTTGTCGAAGCATAAGACGCGGGCTCTCGTAGCCATCGTCTCCGCGATAGAGACGCGCTTCCTTTCACCGCCTGAAACACCTCGAACGAACTCGTCACCGACATAGGTATTTTCGGTGTGGGGAATGTTTAGCATCTTTAGGAGCATGCTCCTGACCTCATTGTTGAACTGGTGTTTCGTTAGCCCAGGAAGACGGCCATCCTTGCTCGGGGTTTTGACGGAAAGGGCAAATTCCAGAGTCTGGCCGACAGTGAGAGTAGCAAGGTGAATATCGTCTAGGGGTCCGGGTAAGAAAATGAGAGCCTGAGATAAGAGACCAAACTTGCCTTCTTGGTTGTAGACGACTTCTCCCTTGTACATTTTGGCCATTTCAGGCGCATCGATGCCGGCATAGCAAACGTCACCTGTCACGCGTGCATAGTCTCCTCTCTCGTTGGCAATCGACTTTAAGAAGGTCGTGCAACCAGCGCCGGGACAGCCGAGAACCAAGACCATTTCGCCGGGCTTTACAAGCCCCGATTGTCTGTGACATGCGTTAGCACGGCCTAACGCTCATGGGCAACGCACTCACTTGTGCAGAATCGGGGTGAGCTGCACGCTCTTCATTGATTCTGGGAGGAAGCGTGCAAACCATGCCCATATGTACACGACAGGAAGCATCAGGAAATCGAGGATGGCCTCTGCAAGGCGAAGTCAGCGGGACAGCATTACCCCAGTATTAAGCACACGCACTTCCAAACGTCCCAATGAAAATCTGAGGGATTGAGACACATCAGTAAAGCCCTGGGGGATAGCAAAAACTTCGCACCTTGTAGTCCCCTCCACCGACTATTTCTACTTGGAGGTCATCCCAAGTGACGCCGACATGCTTGTGCTTGATGCCAGCGGCCTGGTTTGCGTCGTTAGAGGACTGGAGATACTCGCGGAGGTCGAAGCGAGTTGCTTGCTCTCCTCCGGCCTTTTCTATATCACCGCCGGTGATCGCAGCGTCGCGTTGCGTGCGCTGAGTGAGGGAGCGGGAGAGCTGGTTGAAGACGAGCTCAGCCTGGTGGACGTCGACATGATGGACGTCGGGGTCATCTGAGCGCAGAGCACGCTCGTCACCGCGAGGGTCTGCCATGGGAGGAGGCGGGGCGAGTTCGTGGACCGGTGAGCGGACTAGGGCATTAGCGAAGTCGCATCTTATATACGGGAGCCGCCGCCGTTAGTAGTCAAAGCTAATCACGTAGGTTCGCCTTCACAGTTCCTGGGAATTGCACATGTCATCTAGATCCAAGGAAATGAGACCGTTGCGATTCTCCGAGGCCTCGATATCCCGATCATCGGGAATCTCGACGTTATCTTCTTCCTTTTTCTAGGTCCGATCCAAGCATTAGCACAAACGCGCAGCGTACGATGGTCGAGTGAGGGTACTGAGGGACGACTAATATTGCTGAAAGCCCTGGAACAACATAAAACTCGGTGTGGGCACCGCGAGCGGCCCTGCCGCGGAGCATGTGCCGTTTATGGAAGGCGTGCAAGAATGCCGAGTCGGCAAACCCTGGGCGAACCATTTTTCTGTTTCCGGAGGAGTTTTCTCGTGCATCTTCCTGGCCAATTCCTGGTCGCTTGGTCAGCAATCCCCCGCAGGGTGCGTGTACAACGTTGCCTCCATAGACGCGGGTTCAATCGCCTTCTCGTCCCGCCATCCAATCCAAAATCTTCCAATGAGTCACGGCGCTTCGTCGCAGTCCAACGGCCCCGCCGCCACAGCAACTGACTGCTGCATTGCACGACACCGCGGAGAATGACTCGCGATCACGCAGCCAAGGGCCTCCTGCGGTAGCGAGCAGCTGCGGTTATCGCATGAAGCGGTTACACGCGACCGCAGGCTGCCTCCTGGACTGAGCCTCATGCAAGTAGTGTGTGTTGATGCAGCGCCTTCCGCCCCGCACAAGTGGCTTCTATCGCGCCTGTAGCGCGAAGTATACGTCCGTCGGGTGCGGGTATCGGACGCCTTAGACGCAGGGAATATGAATCCTACCTCGGGGAAGCGGGGAAGCGGTGAAGAGTTGCCGACGCTACCGTGCGCGGCGTTGGCTGCGAAAGGCAAAGGCAGTATATTGGCTGTCTCGTTAGCAGACTGTGGCAACAGTTTATGCCCAAGCTGTTACGAGACTCGTCTTATTTCTTCGGCATTTAGCAAT